AAAGAAAATTCATAAACTTCCTAAAATGAAAATAAGACCAGGACCAACCTCGTTGTAAATGTCAAGATACGAAATGCGAAGAAGAAACTCCAGCCTATTGTGTCTAAAAACAAAAGAAAGGTTACTGAAAGAAAAGATATTGTCTAAAAATATAATCAATCAAATGGAAGATCAAACAATTACCTCTTGAATGGTGGCAAATACATCCTTAACAGCTAATGGAATGATTCCAGGTGACTTTTGCTCCCCCTGCATCAAGAAATAAGATCAAGGTTGCACCATTATATTTAAGTAGAATATATAGAGATAGGATAAACATGATACATCCCATGGAAGCACCATCACCCCCCCCCCCCCGGTTGGTTCTTCCTTGCTGAGACAGAAAGAGACTTCATTTTTTACTAAAATTCTATTGATTCTCTAATAGAAGTATTAAAAACAGCAAACATTAGAATTCTCACACATATTCCCATTTGCGTAAAGCCATTTTGAGTATGAAAGATATTGATTGTCATGTTTGATGCACTTTCCAAGAAAAAATATTTTTTTCCATTCAAATCATTCTACAAGCATCCAACATCCACCACATAGATCAACCACAAAAAAAAGTATATATATATATATATAAAATACCCAATAATAAATACATCCATGGTATATATATAACTTATAGCGTAGAGATGACAGGTAAGAAATAACATAATCTCTTGGTCAACACTTAGATGCATTGTATGAGTCTTTCTGCTACTCGCAACACAATATGCAAAGACAGTGCCTGCATGCATGAGATCACATCAATAATTATCATCTAACAATTCATCATGATGTGACAATAAATGTAAAAACATATTCTCTTCTCACATAAACTTTGTCATCAATCAATTTGAATTACTACAAAACCAGGCTAAGAAACAAAATAGGCCTTATGTTATAGCCAAAACCTTCCAAATTAATGCTAGTGTATATGCAATCTCTTTTTATAATTTTTATTGAAAGTTTGCCTTTTATTGTCTAATTGTCAATAAATACAATTCTTAAAATCGTTAAATGCGTCGAGTTTTGAATTAAGATTGACCTTTCTTAATTATTCATTGTTTAGCAAGTTAAAAAAACTCATGATAAAATTTTTACTGTTTTTTTAACAATGCATAAAAAAAAAAAGACATGTTAGGTTAATCTAGACCATCATTTCTCCTCAAATTGACCTATTTTAACAACTACTCCATATTCTAGATAAACAAGTATGACAATTATGCTTCACCAATCAATCCTTCTTTAGTTTTGGAAACATGGGCAAGTCTTCTTCCTATCTTCTTTCTTAAAACATTTGGCCGTTTGCTTGAATTTGATATACTTTACAAAAAAAAATAATATTGTATTTTTTCACTATGAATTTTGCATGAAATGTATTCTGTTCAGCTAGATTTATTTGTATATTAAAGAAGGCTGGTCTCTTTTCTCACCAACTTTGGAATTAAAATTCATACAAAGTGAGACTATAATTGCCACATAATTAATATTCTATTGGGTCATTGGACATTCAATATATCCCATCCAAACATTGCAACCAAACAGTGACAGCCATAAATCACTCACATCAGACTTCTTTCAGTAGTACTTCAAACAACGGAGAAATTAACATCCAAAGATAAATAAAGTTACCATTTATCCCTTGCATGGCACCACTTACAACATGCTGAGCAGCAACATCGTATACATGGCGTGTAGTTGTTGCTGGGCCAAACACTCTGTCTGTGATATACTCATGAAAATCAACTTAGAAAATCAATAACCATAAGAATTTCAAAGACAAAGGTAACATGTGTTGAAATTGAAGAAAGCTAATCTCATTAAATTATATGAAAACATAACCCTAGAGGAAAATAAACAATAGTTATTGATCTCTGCAACCACAAATGTAGATTAATCAGTCCCTTTTTTTCACTCTTACACTCCAAAATTCAATTAAACAAGCAAAAAAGATCTTTGTTAAAATGTTTGTTCATTATTGATTTACTCAGTGCAGCAGTATCAGAATGGAAGATAAATTGAATCCAATAAGATAGTTAATGAATAAAAAACGCCATACAAAAATTCAAAGTAATTGACAATTCTACAAATTAGAAGAAATTATATTGTTACTTTCATGAAAATTTATGGCACTCATGAAACTCAAAAATGTAAAACAAAAAAAAATTACTAACCAAAGCCATAAGCAATAGAAGGATTGAACTCGTTCCTTACTGTATAATCCGCATCTGCATACCACGCTATCTCGTCTCCTTGATTAATTTCTGTCGGACTGTTATAGAAATAAATAAATAAATAACTTAAATATTAGAAAAATGAAACAACAAAGCTTCCGCACTGTCACGGCAACTAAATAACGGGCCAATAGAAGACAGCCACAGGGAGGGAGTTCCTGAGAGGACGAAAACGGACGGTAACGGTGACATTCTCTTTAGGCTTGGAGGTGTCGGGACGTTCGAGGACGACAATGGGCGGGCTAGAGCTACGGCCTGGGCTGGGACTAGAGGAAGTAGCTGGAGAAGAGGAGAGTCTAGAAAGAGGAGGAGACGACGTCGTTGACGAAGGAGTCACCGGACGACCGGTCGTTTTGGAGGAAGGCGAGGTTACGGGAGATTTGTGTGAACGGAACGGCGAGATGGAGGATCGATGCGACCTACTTGACATTCGGGAGTAGAAAAAGTAAAAGGGAAGTAACAGTTTTGGGCAAAGGAAAAAGAAAGGAGGGCGGTTTTCACATGCCGGCAAGGGAAGGCTGAGAACCGTGCCGCCTTTCAACTGTAGTCTTTCTCTTTCTCTCTCTTCTCTCCCTCCAAAACGAGGCTCTAATTTAATTTTTAATAATAATTTATTTACGTTTTTTCATTAATTTGGTTTTTTTTCTTCGAATTTGTCTCACCTGTGCTGTGCGCTTATTTTTTTTAACAATTTTAATTTAATGAATTATCAGATATGCCCCTTGTGTCACATGCTGTTGGTTTTGAAATTGAGTGGGGACAAAAATGAAAATTTGGTGAAAAGCATACCGTACGATGCCTTTTTGCCCTTTTCCCCCGTCTTTTCAATCTGGAAAAGCAAAGCTGGGAGATAAATATTAAATTTATCACTTAATTAAAAGTGAATTGATATGGTTGTCTGTTTAATATTTTATATTTTTAAATATTTTATTTTATTTATGTTTAATTTATTAAATTTAAAAATATAAAAATAAAAATATGTAAAAGAAAGTGATTAATATTTTTAAGTTCTATTTGTTATTAATAATATATGAATATTTATTAATATTATTTATTATTAATATAATATACTATTTATTAATATAATGTATTCTTAATATAATAAATTATATGAATAATATATTAATTATTAACATATTATTCATATAATTTTTATATTAATATAATATTTATTCATATAATATATTATATTATTAATATAATATATTATATTAATAATATAATACATTATTCATCGATATAATATTATTTTACAATAAATTTAATAATATTTAATAAATAATATTTATTAATATAATTAATAAATAATATATTATTTTATTAATATAATAATTATAACGATACTGTAACAGTTTAATTATAATTTTTTGCTAACAATACTCATGTAATAATGTGTCAAATTATTTTTAAAAATTGAAAATATCATTTTTTTATTTTTAATAAATATCAAAACTTTTTAAAATTTTGTTTTTGATTTTCAAAATTAAAAAATAAAACAACCTATCAAATATGTTTCTATTTTTTATTTTTACAAATTTTGAAAACGAAAACAAAAATAAATAACCCCTAAATGAATTATTTTAGATAAATTTATAATTTTTTTATACTCACATTGACTAATGCTATCTAAATATAAATATAATTATATTTTTGCTATATATATTCAAAAGTTACATGAAACATATACCTAACATTAAATCAAATATTTTGATGCAATATTTTAAAATATCGATGCAATATAGATATAAATTATTAAATCAGATGTAGATATTTAGAATATTTTACGCATAAAAATGACACCAAAAATATTTGTTCTCGCATTATCTTTTTGCAACATGTGAATTTTAGTTCTACCATATAACATTTAAATACCTTTGGAACATAATATCTCCCCATCTCACCCATTTGCAAAAACTTATTTATAAGTATTGCACAATTTTTTAATCATCAAAAGTAACCTAAGTGAAGGTTAAAAAAATGTTGCAGCCCAAGTATAATGTTGAGTTGGACATGTATATATGCTTAGAATGATTAATTATTGGAATTTGAAAGATACTCATGCATGCTATAACTCATTTATAATCTATAATAAATAAGTAGGAATAATGTTTAAAACATTTTATTTTAATTGACTACAAATGATATATTTCTTGTTAATAATTTAAATTAATAATTAAATTAATCTTTTAAATGTAAAAGAGTCATAATTATGTTTAATTATTTTCATAAGAGAATGATTTACTCTTAACATAATAACAATTCATATATATAATAATTAATTGTTTTGAGTTTTGTCAAACTTTACTTTTTTAATACAAAATTCTATTAATATATATTTTATTAATTTCAACTTTTTATATAATATAAATTATTCATTGCAAATAAATATTTACATGCCAGCATGCAAGTGATAATAAATTATTAGTAATTATAAAATGTGATTATCACATTGATATTACACTTAGATATTAATTTTTTTTTTAATTTAGAAGTAGATTTTGATGATACAACAAATGATATTCTATGATATATAATTACTATTTTTATATAAGATTATTTATTCAACAAAAGCAAATTTATTTTTTAAAATTTTAAGTACAAAAAGATTGTAATTAATTATTACATTTATATATATAAATAAATAAATAAATAATTAAAACATTATTAAATAAATTCACACCAACCACTACAATCAAATTTATTTATTTAAAAAACTCACACTTAAAAAAAAAAAAAAATCGGACAAACCGTACAGCAAAAAGAAGCGCGCTTCGAAAACTGCGTTCGCGCCATCACACTCTCATCAAAAATCACGGTTGAGTAAGCCCTCTTCTAAGCTTCTTCTTTCATCAGCCGTAGCAAACGGCGGAAATCGAACTGAAAATTGAAACTCGGTGACAATGGCGGAGGTAATTTCGTTGATGGGCGTCGACGAAGACGACAATCACCAGAAACAAAACCACTCTCAGAAGTTAAGCAAAGGCAAAAGCGTCGTCACAGCTACCGATTCCAAAGCTACTCCCTGGGTCGAAAAGTACCGCCCTCAGTCCCTTGCGGACGTCGCCGCTCACCGCGACATCGTCGACACCAGTAATTCTTTCCTCTCCCCAGCTTCCCTTCTAGGGTTTTTAAAATATATTTCCCCTAATTTTCTTTTATTTTTACCAGTTTCACTGTAATTTAAAGGGGTAAAAAGAAAGGAAATAGAGGAACAAAAATAATTCGAGATTTCAACTTTTCGTATTTCTTTTTCATTTTCATTGTTAATTTTATAGGTTAATAAAAGCAGTCTGCATATTTACTAAATTTAAGGAAATTGAATGATATTTTCCTCAATATCTTATAACAAATTATTTACTTAGTACTTCTTTTTTTTGTTGTAAATTAGTTGATAGGCTAACGAGCGAGAACAGATTGCCGCATCTTCTGTTGTATGGTCCTCCCGGAACAGGCAAAACATCCACCATTCTGGCCGTGGCACGAAAGCTTTACGGAGCACAGTATCATAATATGATTCTGGAGTTGAATGCTTCCGATGATAGAGGAATTGATGTTGTTAGGCAACAGATTCAAGATTTTGCTAGCACTCAAAGCTTCTCATTTGGGTAAATTCCTTTTGTTTTGCGCAATTAATTAACTCCGTTATTGCTAAAATAATGCCTTAGTGTGACAACCACCATCAGCTGTTATGAATTTGGCACTGCATAAATTTCTTGTAGTCGTTGTTTCAATCCAGCTGTTGTCTTGTATTGCTGCTGAACACTCTTTCGGGCGTTTACAACTACCTTTTCATAATTGTCCCTTTTTAATATAGAACTTAGAGTGATTTGAATGTGTTCCAAAGAGAGGAGGATGCGTGTGTGTTTATTCATTTTGTGTTTTGGGTTTTGGTATAGTGTTTTATGGTCATTTATGAGCTTATGACTCTGTGTGTATGTTATCAGAACCTTATCATCTTTGAGCTTGAATAAATGCTTTATAAAGGTAATTTATTGATGATTAATGTGGAGATTTTTGCAGGGCGAAGTTGTCAGTAAAGTTGATTTTACTTGATGAAGCAGATGCTATGACAAAGGATGCACAATTTGCCCTGCGTAGAGGTATAAATTGTCCTTGACCAACTATATCTCGTTGGCAAATTATTACCTTTTTTATGCCTATATTTTCAATGATTCTCTGCAGTTATTGAGAAATACACAAAGAATACTAGGTTTGCACTGATCTGCAATCATGTGAACAAGATCATTCCAGCACTACAGTCCAGATGTACTCGGTTTCGATTTGCACCTCTTGATCCTATTCATGTCACTGAACGACTTAAACATGTTATAGAGGCTGAAGGGCAAGTATTCTGTTTCCTTTTATCATTCATTTATGTTGTGCCCAACTTTGGGTTGATTGGGGCGTTTTTAATTTAAGTGCTCTTCTAGGTGGTTAGAGGGTGGGTGGGACTGAATTTCATAGTGCTGATAATCAGCTAAAAAATCTATAATTTATAAACTTACTAGAATAAAGTTAAATCTTGCATGTAATTTCTAGCTATAATTCATTTTTTGTCAATGCTAGAACTCTTTTAAAATTGTCTTCTTATAATACTATACTCTCAATTTTTGGCTTGTTAAGGTTTGACTGCTTACTTTGACTTAATTCAGAGACATCAGAAAATTTTGACTTGCCCGGATGATTTTTATCTTATTTTGTTCTAGGGCTGCAGATGAGCTGCAGGAGTTTGGCTCAGCTTGGCTTGAGCCTTTTTCCTAAATAAGCCCGGTTTGAGCATGCATCAATTCCCATTTAATAAATAAATCCAACAATAACCTTATATAGGCTCACTCTGTTGATTTTTCAGGCTCTAAATAGATTTTTTTTCTTTTCTTTTTTTGTTTTTAGTTTCAAACCGCTCTAGTTGTAAAGCTTTTGATTGTTTTTTTGGTTCCAAACCGAGCTAGAACTGGCTAAAATAAAAACAAGCCTATATGAACAACCATAAGATTTGCTAACTTGCCACTAGTTAAGTTGGAGCTTGCATTTTTCAGGGTTGGCTCTAGCTTGGATGATTATGTAACCATTGTAGGTTGAAAGTTTTACAGCCTAGCTTGGCTTAAATGATTTGCAACCTTGTATTAAGATTGTGAAAAAGTGAAAAATTAATGCCTTATCATTTGTCATGTGGCTTTACCTTTTGTTCTTTGGACAACTTTTTGTTTTTTGAAAATATTTGTTCTTTGGACTATATTAGTGAATCTTACACCAGAATGCTGTAAATGTTTTTGCCTCATTGGAACAGGCTTGATGTATCTGACAGTGGCTTAGCGGCACTTGTACGGCTTAGCAATGGTGACATGAGAAAGGCTTTAAACATTTTGCAGGTTTTTTAGATCCCCTACTCATATATTGCTTTTGCAGACATTGGTGTGTATAATAATAGTATTTGTTAGAGATGGAAGTCCAAAAAACAACAGGTTGGTATTGATCTGTTCTTTTGTTCATTGCAGAAGTTGTGCTACATGATTATATGATCTTTCATTGTTCTTTGGAAGGGTGTTGTAGCCCTGTCTAAATTAATACTTGATATGTGAGTTATGTGATTGTGTTTGGAGGTGATGTCAACTCTTTTTATTTTTTGGAAATGATGTCAACACTATTTTTTATGAATAGAATGTACTTTTTTCTATTTTTGTTGGGGGAACAGGGATTTAAACCCAGCTCTTTGAGCAAGGGGATACATACACTTATCATTGAACTAAATACTTGCATGAATAAGGCATACTCTATTATCCTTGTTGAGGGATATTTGGGAGAGTAAGATGCCTATTCCTTCTGGAGTTGTTAGTGTTATTCATGAATGTGCAAGAGTGTCGTTATTAAGAATTTTTTTAGCTGTAGGCAGTCAACACATTACTTCTGGAGTTCCTAGTGTTATTCATGAATGCGCAAGAGTGGCATTGTCAATAATTGTTTTTTTGCTCTATGCAGTCAACACACATGGCTTCTCGGCAGATTACAGAAGAAGCCGTGTATCTCTGTACCGGAAATCCATTACCTAAGGACATTGAGCAAATATCTTACTGGCTTCTGAATGAATCGTTTGCAGAGAGTTTCACACGTATTCATCCCAATTTCTCATTTATGCAATTACTACAATTTCAGTCTGGAGATTTACCTTTTATTATTTTGAAAACCATTTGTTTATTCTGTGATTAACTCTCTGCAGGAATATCTGAAATCAAGACAAGGAAAGGATTGGCCTTGATCGATATTGTAAGGGAGGTGACAATGTAAGTGCCATGTCTGTTTAACTTTTAATGGCCATTCTTGGAAATTTTATTGGTTGATAACCATGCACTACATTTTTTTAACAGGTTTGTTTTTAAGATTAAAATGCCCTCGGATGTTCGAGTTCAGCTAATTAATGACTTGGCTGACATAGAGTAAGTACTCATAGACGCTGCTCTCTCGTACACACACACAACACATGAATAATTGATGGTTGATGCTTTTAGTGATACAATAAAACCAAGGTATTGAGATGTAAATATATGAATGTATAGTTGAAACCAGTTATACTTGTAAAACAAGAAAGAAAAAGAAATAGGAGGAAAAGTATGTTGAAGACTATTTGGCTACAATCAGCATTATATTTGTAGCATTTACTTAATATTATGAATTTCTTGATTTGGGCTTTGGATTAGACTTTAGAGTATGCTTGGCCAAATGAGATTTTTCTTTTTGAGCCATTAGGTCATTTCATTATTATTGTTAGCCACTGCATTTGAGATTTCCTGTTTCTCTTACTCTGGCTATTTGTTGGCTATTGTAAGCTTTTTTTTGGGCCAAGCCGTAGGATGTTTTAATTGGGCCCAGAATGTTGAAAGAACTTCTCTCATCATCAGAAATATAAATTAATATTTTAATTATTAGATAACAGAGTGAGGAACAATTGACTAATAGATGATATGCAACCCCTATAAAAGAATACCGATGGCTTTGTTTTGAATCATGAAAGAAATGACAGTTATATGTCCGACTGCATATTCATATTTGCAAACAAATGTAATTCACTAATTCACTCTATCATTGCTGATATTATAAATAGGGTGTAGATCGTGGAAGGTATCAGATAGTGGCTAATGGCATAAACTGGTATGGTTACCATTTGCAGGTATCGTTTGAGTTTTGGGTGCAATGATAAATTGCAGCTTGGATCACTCATTGCTACTTTCACACGAGCTAGATCTGCACTAGTTGCTGCGGCAAAGTAGCTGATTGTTAGGCTTGGGCTTGTTGCTTCTGCCTGTGGGATCGCAACAAGTTATTTTTGTATGATTTTGGCCTGACAAGTACCAAGTGTTTGCTTATGTAATCTGTGAGTCGTGAACACCTAAAGAAAGTAATTTTGAGGCCCAAAAGATAGTTGTTAACAGTTAGAGCTAACCTCCTTGTATTTAATGTAGTGATTTTATTTTTGTTGGAACAGGGTACTGATTTTTTTTTTTTTTTATTTAAGTTTATTAGGATTTGAACTCTGATAATCAAAATTGAAAGTATAATATTTTACTAACAAATTACGCGGACTGAGAGTGCATCGGGCATGATTGGCTTACTAATTCTATATGTGGTCAAAGAATGGAGAAGAGGAAGGATATAATTTTTTATTAAGCAAATAAAGGATTAGACAGATACGAAGCTAAACAAAGGCAAAATATTCTTGTAAAAAGCAACAAATAGCACGGACTGAGATTTTGCAGCTGAAGCAAATGCTGATGAATTGGCGCCCAAAGAGTGGCGTGTAAGGGCTAACTATTAAGTATCTATACTCAGCCAGATGACACAAATATAAGCATAACATACACCATTTAACCGTTTTCAGCTTCTTGGCCTAGTGGCCAAGCAAGCCCTAAAAAGACACCGAAGCTGGATTCCACCCCAGCCTCTCCCCTTCCCCCTTGTTGTAGGGCTCTGCCCTCCTTATCAAACCAAAAAAAAAAAAAAAAAACACCATTTAAACCATTTAACAAGGCAGCATTCGTGCCATAAAAAGCCCAATTTCGACACATTTTTGCAATGCCATTTTCCTTTAACATGACTTACTCGTTAGTCCTAAAAGACTGATCTGTACAAAAAACTTCTAAGCAGCTTTTACACTCACTACACAAGAAACCTCTCTGATTCTCTTTTCCATCTCAAAATAATAAACACTTTATACTTTACATTTTACGAATTTACTACAAAACTGGACCTTGGGTAGATATATATGTAATACTTACACAAGCAAAAATCCACCATGTACCTTAAAATATTAATATCATATATGTTTCCTGTAAATTTCTGCACCTGATATCATTGCGGTTGCTTGTAAAGAGATGATCTTGTAACCCTTTATATGCTACCATCGTTTGACATACTGTTGTACCAGATCGTGTCAATTTCAAGCGTTCTGGAAGAGCCATCTCTGTTGCTATCATGATTCAGGCTGAACAAACCACCATATACTTCCTCGGTCACGATTTTGTCAATTTGAATAGTTACTCTTCCTAGACTTGTCTGAAAAAGCCAACATCTCGATCGGAAATCAGAAAGTAAAACCATTTGTCAGAGAGATATCAAATAAAACTATTAGCACTTTTGTCACCACAAAATGAAAACTGTTCATCTAAGGAACAAGTATCATTGCATTGAGGTTGCAACAACTGAACTATAAATTCAGCATAATATTGGAAATCTCATTACCTTCCCAAAAGTAATTTTGCATTTTGCAAATGATATGGAGTTTTTGTCCCTTTGGGGGCACATAAAAGCCCATGTAAAGCCTTCTTTCCACTCAGGAGAAGTACTGCAGCTTATGACCTAATCATAGTTGAAAACCACTCCTGTTAAAGTATGGGCACTGATAGTAATAGAATAATATATAATCAGCAAGTGTACAATTATAAACCTTTTATTTTTCCATCACATAAGAAGTGTCTGATATAGCATCATGGTGTGGATTGGAACACTTTTTCTGAAAGAATGAAATTCTTGACTTGCTAATAAATTCTTCATCTGCATAAATGGTTTAGAAAATATTTTAATGAATAAATGAAATGCTAAGCACTGAGTTTCTCAATAAATTTATACCTGCAGAGTTCAATTTTTTTGAACAAAGAAAAACTAGAAAATCCCAACAAGGTGATGAAGTCATATGCTTACTATAATTGCCATATAAGGTGGCATATTCAGGAACCATCAAATAAAATAAGAAATGATAATATTCAAAACCTCTATTTTCTATACCCTGGCAAAATGGCAATAAATGCAAAATGCATCACCATAACTAAATTAGAAAAGAAAAAGGCTATGGAAAATTTTCAAGAATAAGGAACAAGCTACATTTCATATGACCATAGACCAATCTAAAGGTAGGATGCATAGTTTATTTTCCAGTGACTTAAATAGAATTGTTACCTTGGTTTGCCGGGGAGGACCATTGCCTATTGTCAATTGGCAAAATGCATTTGTGGTTCCCATGGCTTGCTTTAGGTTGTTACCATGCTTGATGGTAACAGTCAAACATCCCGGTAAGCAGTGCAATAGGCTGTCTGCTCTCTCATGGAAACCTGGAGGACATGTTTTCATCAGCATTTGCAAAATAGGAATTGCTTCAGCTGCAATCATGGACTGAGATTTTGCAATTTCTATTGGCATGGTTGACCAAGAATTTTTTAACAAGCACAGGGTGTCCAATACAGATTCCTGGGCACCCTCACTACCAGATTTTAGCGCTCCAACGAGATGGGGAATACACAGGGTAGCTGCTTCAGAAATATGGAGCTTAGGAAAGTTGGCAAATATCACATTTAATGTTCTCAAGACTTCTTCATTAATAGTTGCAGCAGACCACAATTCTCTCTCTAGGGCAGCAGCAAAACAAAGTGATTAAGCATTTCAATATTAAAATGCAATGTTGAGAACCAAAAGAGAGGAAGGGATAGGAACTTTTACAAAGAGAAAAGTAAAAACTTAAGCTAGATATTGCTTGTTGGCCAGAAGTTCTTGAATTGTAAAATGATAGTCGTGTATCATGCAGACAAAAACTTCAGACAGAAATGAATTGAGCTGAGTTTCAAGCAAAATGTAGAATGCTCCTCCTTTTCCTTTCTCTTAACCAACATTAAATTTTCAAATAACAAACAAAAGATGTAATGATGCATCTTGACAGTTTGAACTGAAACCAACAAGTTATAAAAGCAAAAAACTGTTGTAATGCTATATCACCTGTCAAAGATCTAATGAGCTCATTTGATACATATTCTTGAAGAGTGTGATTAGAAAATAAGAATTTGATCAGCAGTGCTGCTTGCGTAGCAACTTCTGCATTAGGAGAAAGTAAAAGTTCCTGAATCACTAATATGCCACTTGCTTCAGCAACAGCTCGCCCATTAGTTCTACTCTGCATGACAAAGTTCTGCAATGCACAAATTGCAACCATTTTCATGTCATCTGTTGGCTGATCCTCAAGCAAGCTTACGAGTGAACGACATTCAGAAACAGAATCACTGGCTCTAGCATGTCCTTCATGCTGAGAGAGATCTCCAAGAGCTAAAGTTGCAAGGAGCCTGCCAGACTCTGATCTTGTCTGTGGGTCAAAAAGATACCGCGCTAAGGGTGCAATGGCATACTTAGAAACCTTCATCTCTAGTACCCTTACATTGTTAAATAAAGCTTCAAGCATCTTCCAGATGCTTCTTCACACTGGTGAGATCTTACTAGATCCAACAACGCATCCATAGCTCCAGCTTCAGTCATCTGTTCAACACTTGAAGGATCACTCCTTTCATGGACAATTAAGGCATTAAGAGCCACACTAATGGTGCTCTCTAGTGTGGAGTGCAACATTTTGACCAGAACTATTAAAGGGACTTTAAAATAGTACTCAGCATTGAAACACATAACATTGGAGAGAACCAAAGCAGCAGATTCCCAAAGCACATGTGGAGGTTGAGGATCATCTTGAATAATAACCTTTAAAAGCTCAAAAATATCTCCAGCATCAGCAACTGCCTTCGGCCAACTTTCAGAGATCTTTTCCAAAGCTTTAATTGCTGTTTGCTGCAGATTCAATATTCCAATTCCTGCAAGCTGCACCAGTGGCACAACTGCACTTTTTGTTGTGATGTCTTGCTGAAAATGTTCCTGTGCAAGAAGATGAGTCAATAATTCTGTTCCAAGCTCCTCGATAGCTTGAGATGGCGATTCCAGAAATGAAATCAGAGGTTCAATGACTTGACTGGGAGTCAATTTCAGAGTTGCAAGGCTTTGTGGCTTCTCCAAGATATTTACAAGTGCTTGCAACGCAAATGTGCTGTCCCCACAAACTGAAATCTGGATGAAGTAAAGCAATGAAAAGCGGCTCTACTATTTTTGCACCATCTGAATTTCTAGCAATAGCATTACTATTTGTCAAAATGCGGAACAACTCTGCAATGGAGGAGCACAATGAACAGGACGCCAGAGGCAGCACCTCAAGACAATTATCAATAACTCCAGCTTTGACCATTTCCAATTTGTGTGGTGTGTGGTCTTTCCCCAACTTTATGAGTGTACATATGCTGGCCCCAATAAGCTGATGGTTTCTCCCAGAAATTAGCCAATGAGGAGATCCACAATGTCATATGCTGCTGCTAGCTCCACCTGTTGCTCATCATCTAACAATCTCTCCAAAGCACAGACTCCAGACTCCACAGCTGTACCAGCATCAGACTGCATAAGAGAAATAAGGGGTTGTATGCATTCGGAAGCTATAGGATTTGCTCTAAATTTAGTAGTTCCAAAGAGAACAAAGCAAAGTTGTACAGCATTTTTTTTCAATTCCAAGGATGAAGCAGAAGATAAGATTTTGTATAGAAACTCAAGTGGGTTTCCTTCAACATCAGTCATTATAGCTGCTTTTGAAGTATTTCCTGAAGCTAATTTGATCAAGGCAACAAGAGCAATCTCTTGCTCACTCTCTGATGCAGCACAAAGCATGTCAACCAGTGGTTGTACAGCCTGCCTAGCTAATTCAGAATCTCTAACATTTTCAGCATCAAAAATTTGATGGAGAGCCCTTGCAGCACTGAATCTAGCATTTTTTGAACTAAGGTGCAGAACAGCTATAAGTTGATTCAAGGAGCTAAGTGAAGCTTCATATCAAATAAGATCCTGACTGCCAAATAATATTCTGAGTAATTCACATATATCAGCCTCTGTTGAGTCTTGAGGGCTCAAAGACAGATACTCTGTTAAAGCATCAAGAGCTCCAGCTTCACTCATGATTAATTTGTTAGTATCACTTCCATCTGCAATGCGCGTTAAGAGTTGAACAGCAATTGGAGGGGCTCCAGGCCTATCTGGTATTGGTCTCAAGAGATCAACTAAAAGAGGAGTAGATTTCCGAGCAGTAGAGCCAATTCTTACATCTTCAATTTCAAAAAGATGGTCTAGAACAACATGACAAGGATTCT